ATGACCCTGAGCCTGGCTCATGGTCAGACTTCCATAGCTCTTCAGCAATCAACTTAGTATTCATCCTCAGGATACTCTCAGCTTACCTTCACTGCGAATACTTGTTGAGTCTAAGACTGATCACCTTAGCCTCTGAAGACTTGATCTACTACAAGCCTACGACCTACGACCCAGACCACGACCTCAGTGTACTGTTACTACGTGTCAATCCCCAGCTTCTGTTAGCAGACCCTACTGTCGGATAGCTGACCGAAACACCAGATACCTGACAGTATGGAGGGTCAGCTCCTGGTTTCAGTTGACGGAATCATACGGAGTAAGCTTTGAACGAAAGGTTTTCTGGTACGAATACAACTAGTTTTTGCTTATACATGTAGGCTTTTACTGACGAGGCAGTGAATGCAGATGCTCAGGAAAGAATGAACTCCCTCCGGAAACCGGATGTTATGATACCCCCCTAGCATTGGTTGAGGTGATGCCATAGGCGTAAAACGACGTCCCCAACGCCTTGGCGAGTCCAAAATAAAATGCTTCACTTGGCTGCTGGCAGGTCTTGTCTGGGCGATCAACAACGGCAGGCGAGGCGCATTCAAGTGTACCCAGTCCGCCTTGCGTTGTCATTGGCTGGCACCCACAACCTCTCTCCAACCAACATCGACCGTGTCGCTCAAGATGACTCGGCTGTGCCAACAGCAGGTGCGAAGGATTTCTCAATCTCACACAACCCGTCCATCTCGATCTTCTTCTCAACCCCTCATTATTGACGTAAGCAATTCGAACCGTTGCGTTTCTGCTCATCCGGCAAGCAGGAGTCCAAGAGCACATTCTACCGCCGATTGATCGCCCTGGTGAGATCCAACGCCATAAGGCGTCCGTTGCTGTGACTCCAGTCCTCACGCTGCCGGAGGCCCCTCCCGGTGTGACTCAATGCTAATCACGGATCGAGACTGGCTCCTACCAGACCTTCACCACTTCTGCGACTACATCACACAAGCCCTCCTCGAGACAGACCATTGTCAGGTGTCATCAGCAGCAAGACAAAATGATGACATCGATTGAAATCATTGGCTTCGTTAGCGCCGTCACCGATTTCCTCGACTTGGCCGCCGAGAACATCACAGTCGCCCGGGAATTCGGGAATTCAGGCTCCGCTACGACGAAGGCCGACGTCGACTTGGAGCGCCGCATCAAGTTGCTCGACGAACAGATCAAAGCCGTTCATCTGAGCGGGCCGGAAATCGCAAGGGATGGTCACGAGGCCAAGCCGCTCATTCGTGTAGACAAATAGCACGATCTCACAGTGCGGCTCCTCTCGCTATTGGATGGATTCAACTCGGCCAAATATGTCCTAGTAAAGGAGGTAAAACAGAGTTTGATCGACGAATTGGAAGATTGGCGGTCAAAATCTTATCTTCGAATAACAAAAGTAATAAGGTAAGTTTAGCAAGACTTGCAAAAAGTGACCTGAGAACATTGTGCTGAGAGATTTACACAGACACGATCTGAAACGCCTTCTTCGCGACAGAGGCAACCTAGGGTACAGCCTGAGGGCAGACCTAGAGGCCCTTGAGCACAGAATTACGCCGTCGGATGGAGCTGGAGATATATATAACCTTGGATTCCTTGGAGTCATGCGCAACGTTTTCAGCGACTTCAAAACGTGTCTTGTCGAGTACGCGCAGAAGCAGATTCTTGACGAGCTGCGGGTTGATGGCATGAAAACCAGATTTGAAGAGGTCGAAGAGGCACACGAGAGCTCCTTTGCTTGGATTCTAGACACCGACTCACCCCTTGAAGAGGACACTTCCTTCGGTTCACAGGCACGCCAGCAGCTTGTGATGTGGTCTCTCCACGGGCACGGTATCTTCTACATCTCCGGGAAGCCAGGGTCAGGAAAGTCCACTATTATGAAACATCTTTGCCAAAGCTCAAAGATGAAGAAGCATCTACGCGCTTGGGCGGGTGAAAAGTCCTTGTTAATGGCGAGTTTCTTCTTCTGGCAGCTCGGGGCGGATATGCAAAAGTCTCTTGATGGCATGCGCCGTGCGCTGCTATTTTCGGTGTCGGAAGAAGTGCGGACACTAATACAGACTGTGTTTCCAAAACACTATCAGTCTATCATGGAGGAACGACCGCTGCAAGTCCGCTCTTCAGACGTGGACGTGGCTCTGAAATTGCTTCTCGACCAAACCAACTTTTTAACTTCGCACAAACTTGTGTTTTTCATCGACGGCCTTGATGAGCTCGATGGAGACCATGAAAATCTGATGAAAACACTTCTCGAATGGGCCAGGAATTATGGAGAGAGTGTGAAGCTTTGTGTGTCAAGTCGAGAATGGAAGGTATTCAAAGAACAGCTAGCCGGTTATCCAAATATCCGGCTTCAAGACATCACAACTCGCAATATCAGCAGCTACGTCAATCAAGAATTACTAGAAAACGAGGAGACCAATCAATATTCGACTCCATGGGAAATGAAAGCCACAGCAAACTCGACAGAATGAGGGCAATGCGATCGCTTTTGACTGTCCTCCATTGTAACAGGGAACCAGACGATCACCACCCTCCGTGGCTATTGATATCCTATTCGTTTCTCAACGACTACGAACACGACCAAGACTTTGCACTGAAGCTTCCGATTCAACCGATGCATCAAATTGTTTTAGACGAGAGGCTAGAATGTGCTCGCAGATTGGCCTATCAAAAGTCCATGGGCATGCTGGAGACATTTACCCTAAACACAGACGATAAGCCGCGTTATTCACCAGCTGGGCTCGACATAAAAGCGGTAAAGAAGCATTCGGAATTGGAATTCAGACCAGGAGATGCGGAAAAAGGGGTTCGTGTGGAGCCCGCAAAGAGCAGGAACGACAGCGACGATGGTGTCCATGGCTTCGCTGATGATTATTACACCAGTGATTCCCCCGATGACGATGACGAAAACATTATTGAGGTTAAGAACGACGGAGACAACGCCAATCATCTGCATAGGAACGCAAAATATGAGGATGAGAGGAAAATCAACAACCAAATCCCTTCTCAGAAGGGAATCAGATGCGTTCACAAGACCGTTTACGAGTTCCTTGCCAAACCCCAGATTAAGACGATAATGCGCGCCGAATCGATGGGTTCCAACGAAGCGGACTTCAAGCTCCAAGCATTTCTCGCAATAATGAAAATCTTTCGTCCAAGCGTTCATTATGCGAGGACGCGCTTTCTCTTCGACTTTGAATCACTGCACTACCATTCTATGCTAAACCAAGTATCCGAAGCCCGTTTCCTGGCGTTTTTGGAGGAACTAGCTCGTGTTCTGGAACACCACGGAGCTATCGTTGAACATGTGTGGTCTCGCTTTATGGGTGGTGGCCTGACAACGGTGCACCAAGCTTGTCGTCCAGCTTACAGTGAGTTGGTTCTACTAGCTGCAAAGATAGGCACCTCTAAAGGGCTTTGTTCCCTGAGCGGAATGCAACTCGCTCGCCGACTCCAACAAAAGATCAATGACCCGGATATTGTTCTTGATACATACTTTGAGGGCGTGTTTGACTATTTCGACATAGACAAAAATCATGAGAAGATGGAGAGAAGAACGTATAAAGCGAGAATCTATCAGGAACTCGCTGCATACTTTGAAGCTGGAGCTTCGCCCAACGCCAGATCTAACCACGTAATACGCGGATGGAAAGAAACGTAGAATATGACTCTGACCTGTTCGCACATGTGGTTGAGGATGATTTTGGGTCATGAAGATGATGCAGATCTTGCCGAGTCTTTCATCAAACTATTCCTTCTGCACGGGGCCGACGCAAATATTTGGGTCCGAGTCGACGAGGAGTGGTGCAGTCTGTGGTGGCCCGGATTGGCCGGTTGGGTGGACATCTGCGCCACAAGAACATATGACGAGGACGAGGACCTCTCAGCTGAGGATGCCTCATTAGTGTACCATTTTGTCAAGAAGTACGAGGGCGGATTTCCTACCGAGCCGCTTGGAACGTTTCTTGTGGAATTATTTCCACGAGGCGGCCCCGAAATGAAGCGCTTGGCAGATCGGAACTTGGGTTCACAAAGAATGACGGAGCCATCATTCATGATGGATGATATTTGGTGAGCCCTGGAGGAATTCTTAATGTAAAACAGTAAGGTGGGCCACAACGGGTATGGCCAGGCTTTGGCTGAACCAACCACCACGGTAGTTGAAGTAACTTGAAGACTCGGGATGTGAGCCACGCTGGCTGCGGAGACAGCTTCTCTCAATGTCTTCGATGAAAAGCTTGATGTCGCCAGCGTGGGTATAAGAGAGGGCGACTGATGCGCTGGCGAATCTTTCTTCCCTTCGAAGTTCTTGTTCGATGCTCTCCCTTGTGTACTTGTCTGCCTGGCCCCCGAAGTTTGTTCTTGGCAGGCTGAATCATCGTTCGGAGTGATTGTTCGATGTTGGTACCGGTATGCAGTGTTGGATCTTTTGTTTTCCTTCGTTGGGACCCGTTCAAGGGCGCCCTGAACGGCCCCCTTTTACCGCCGTACGGTAAGGTATGCGGGGTTACGGCGCAGTAGATGGGGTTACGTAGTTCTCACCTCTTCATCGCATCCCCCATCCTAAAGCACAATACACGCCTCTGGATTGGGCACGCTTCCGCATATTCTTCCCCGGCCTTGCAACAGCCTTTCCAACATAAAAAGCCCGACCTTGCGAACCGGAAGGCTCATTTGAGTGCAACTGAATCTGCCAACCTAACCACTCTCCCCCCTTCTTAAATTACACAACAAAAATGACCACCGAACACGACATCGACTCTGCGAAGTCGGGCAATATGCCCCCGGGGATGACACCAATGGGTGATACTCGAACACAGTCAATTGAGGACTCTATGAAGCGCAGCAAGGAGTTCCGAGACTTGTTTCCGGACGTCGACTTTGGCGGAGGCGTTATCGAACCCACAGTCAACCTCACTTTTGACCTGAAGGTAACACATTCCCTTCATAAAACGCTACCTTAGGATAGAAGCCCTCGCCTGAGAAACAGAATTCGGTTTAACTTGACGGCTGCAGGATAAAGTCGACGAAGAAAACCGGAAGCGCCACGAGGGGCTGATGGCACAGATGTTCGAGCACGTTGCTGAACCCGCTCAGGCTGAACACTTCTTCTGGAAGGCAAGAGAGTGCCTGGAAGCTTACCCGGAGGTTCTGTCGCAGTTTGACAAGATATACCTTAACGGCAGGCCAGTGTCGGTGATGATTGGGCAGTTGAATGAGGCCTTCTCCCTTCAGAAGGCCAACATGGCGGGAAGTAGCAAGATAAGCCAGGCGTGAGCGGCCATAATAGTCTTCTATGATGGGGAAATCAGTGTGTTCCATGCTTTGTTCAGGCAGGCTAGAGCAATGGATGCAAATTGTCCGGCATTCGCAGATTTCCGTCTATTTTTGTGAGCCTTTTTAAGTGAACGTCATCTGCGCCACAGTTTCCCAGGACTTTCCATCAAGTAGGAGCCATAGGCGCCTGTAGGCAGACTTTATCCAAATCTGTATCTCACAATGACTTAATTGACATCACATGTTTTCACCCAATGTAGCAGTAAATTTGCAATATGGTATCTGGAATCGAGGTTGCTATTGGGGTTGCTATTGGCTCGGCGTTTGTGATAAGGTAATATGCCCCCTACACATGCTCAAGGCAGACTCATGTACAGTTCTAGAAGCCGACTAAAGTTCGGAGTTCCCAGCCCTGTCACAGGATCCCATCCATCAGACGCCGCAAAAGCTTGGGTGACACCACAGCCGCTGTTCCAACCCGTCTTCGCATCGCGGAGGGCCTTCTTCCCGATGTCGTACAAAAAAGGATTGAGAAATCCTACGGGACTTTTGCCAACCGCCTGTCTAGCGTTGTTAATGAGGGCGACCATGGATGCAAACACAGGAGCTGACGCCGACGTGCCGGCGACGCGCCATAGTTTGCCGTTGGAGTAAGCGACCACATCGTTGGCTACCGCGGAGACGTCCGGGAAGCCACGACCGCGCGGGTTAAAGTAGCCTTCAGTCGAGAGATTTCTCAGATGACTCTGCAGGGAAGGCTGGTCGAGGTAGGACATTGATGCGCTCTGTTGGTAAAAAGGAGTCTTGAAAACTCTGCTGTATCCGCCGCCCGAACTCGAAGGAGGATTCGAAATGGAGAAGGCTGTTTCGGGAGGAAAGGACTTCCAGCTGGTTCCGTTCTTCCAGGTCGAGTTGGTGGGTACCAGCTGCGTGCCGCCAACAGTGGTCACCCATGGGCAGGAAGCAGGGAACGCGGGCGTGAAGTGGCCATGTGTTCCGTTTGTCGTTACATTTCCTGAGTTGGGGTCGATGCAGGAATTTCCTTGGTGAGAGGTCCCGGTGTCGCCTGAGCTGACAATGACGCTGACGCCTCGCAACCCAAGCTTCAAGTACTCAAGGCACTGGCGCCGGAGATACCCCTCAGAAAAGGTGGCCTCGTTGTAGACGTACGAGACTGAGATCACTGACGGAGGATCGTAGACACCGCAGTCCGAAGAGTTGTAGCCCCCAGGTCGCGTGTTCGGGTACACGGGATCAAAGTATGGATCTAGGCCGGTAAGGCAATACTCCTTGCTAAATGCTGCTAGCATGGTGTTCAGATTGCCACCCAGGAACTGATCGCCGACCTTGGTTCGCATCATTAGCACTTTTGATCCATATTTTGAGGGCTCGGACTCAACTTACCTGGATGTTCGTGACCGGGAGTGGGCTGATAAGCGACATGGCATACTCATGATCGAGATTGGACTCCAGGTTGAAGGGCCACATTTTGACATCGTCCTGCAGGTAGCCTCCATTGGCAGGAGGAACCTTTGGCCTTTGGCCAACAAGCCCCGGATGGAAGCGCGAAAAGAAGCCATCGAGATCCTCCGGCAGCCAGCTCACCCAGGCAGGCTGGTAGATGCCCAACGAGTTTTGCGAAGGAGAGACGGCAGCATTGGTAGTTGGCATGTTGTAAAGCGACCGATAACATTCGGGCGTCATGTACTTGAAGCAGTCTAGTTGTTGACTTGGTGAACTCTGCCGCTTGAGAGTTGTCGTTGACAGCATGTTGAACGGCTTTGCCTTGGCGACAGCCGATGGCACTCCGCCCAAATCAATCCCGGGGAGGACCGCATCGATATTACCCGAAATATGTGCGGGAAGTCGAAACGACTTGGTAGCCAATTGGATGGAGTTGTCCTTGGAGTAACTGTAGAACGTGGCGTCGATGAGCCGTTCTGCTCGCTCGACGGTGTTGTTGAAGAAAATATGGCTGCCGTCTGAACTCACGCTCATACTGGAGCGTGGTATGCCGGCAGAGTCCAACCACTTCGCAGTCTGACGGACCACGTCTGCTGATGGGGCAAACATCTCAGATACCTCGTCCGCAGAAAGATGGTGACCGAACTTGTCCGAACTTGGGTCGGAGATGGCACGGAGAACATCTTCGGCAGCCGAGGTGCCAGACTCAGGAACAGAGAGGGCGAAGTCCATACGGATAGGGTAGTTTCCGGGCGCCCGAGATTCTCGTCGCCAGCCGGCCTCACGCCAGTTGCCGGACATGGTCCATGTCTGCTGTTTGGCCTGAGGTTTCGCTTGCGAGAGAGTTATCGCCAATTGCGCGACTGCGCGACTGCGGGGACCAGGTATAGACGCATGATGATGATGATACGACCTTGCCGAGTGAGGTTAAGGTTCTAGGTACATAGACGTATCATAAACTGGATCTTTAAATGCGCTTGCATCCAGACACAAGGCCGTAGAACGCCTTACGCAGAGGCTGTGCAATACCCCCAAGCCTACGAGGGGACGTTTTCCTAACTACATGCCGTATGCTGTTGGAAGGGGTCGGTTTCCTGTAAATTAAAATTTTGAAGTTCAGGCAGCCTCTGATGGTGAATATAGAAGCCTGCGTCCCACCCCTTCACACCAATCAGCTCAGAAACAGCATCGTCCCATGACAAGGGTGATTGACAGCCTAGCCCCCCACCGATTCCCAGGATATGAAGACAGTTGGAAGATTCGTAACGTTGGTTGGCAGTGGCTGACTTTGGTCAGGAGAAAGGGACCCCGCGCATAGCCCCCTTGGCAGCGGAAGCGCCCGCTGATGCGGCGTAGCCAAGAAAGGCTGCGTCTTCTGGAACTTTGGTATGAGGCTTTTGTGCCGTGCGTCTACAGTGAATATGATGTGACATTGGGGTGTAGCCGACCCCATCTTCCCTGCGTCCAGGCACATTGTCGCATGTATTGAAGTTTAAGGTGGCTGAGAACATGCCAACAATCATGTGTTGAAGTAAGACCGATGAGAAGTACAGCGTATACTCTCGGGGTCGACTTTGAGGTTCGAAGTTAGCATACTACGAAGGCGATTCGCACAATCTGAGCATCCTCTTCACTATCTATGTTTTGAGATTGAACCAAGCAGTAAACACGTGGAGCCATTCTGGAAACCTTCATTCTGCTACTCCAAAAGCCCAAGTGCCAAGCAGGAATGTGATGGCACCGTAAGCAAGGCGGAGAGGTTGGTTGATTGTCACAAGAACCGGGCATTCTGCGGATGTACCCAACCATTCTCATCTGTCTAATATCCTTCCAACATGCATGCATCCGCATAGTCGCTTTAGGGGTACACGGATCGATTTAATACTCCGTCCGCATGTTGGAAGAGGAAGGACTTTGGTCCAATCCCAAGTTTAGCCTTCCTTACTTGATGTAGGCGTTTTTCATCTGCCAAGGTTTCCTGACTTCTCACGCTCATGAACTTGGCTCTGGACTCATCGAATACTCTAAGGCGCAAGACGCGAGTTCTTTGGCATGAGTATTTGATAACCATAAATACCGTGGCAACCTCCAGCCAAATGAATCTTCTTCTCTCATCCCCATCGCACTCAACTTTCCAAGCTCAAGTCCAAATTCATAAACACTGTATTCCTATCAATAACTCTCAACCAACTCCACCCTTGCACCATGCGTTTCACTCCGGCTTTTGTTATCGCCATGGCTTCGGTTGCCTCTGCGGGACCAATTGCCAACGAGAAAAGGGTGAGCTCGGAAAGAATCATCCTGTTAAAGTCGGATTTTGCTAACACACTGATGTGTGTCAGACTGGCGGGAACGCGGTACGTTCTTGAGCATCTTGTCATCTCGAAGTCTTGTACTAGCACATGACGCTGTTGTTTGTCAGAGCTTGAATGTTGCAGAGCTAACTCGAGGCAAACTTTTAGCCGGCTTGCATGGCCTTCTGTTGGGAGTTTTGCATCGTTCCCACCGCCTGTGGTACTTGCATCGCCGCCTGTATGGCGGTGGCCAACCCCGTAAAGGAGCTCGACACTTCTGAGTTTCAGGCCATTGTTGACGCCGCGAAGCCTGGGTCTGTGGCGGCTCAGTAGTTGTTTCAACTGCGCGGTACTATTGAGTTTCGGCGGACATTGTGGGAAACATCTTGGACTTGAATAGTAACTGTTTGTGAGCGAGGGCTTGGTGGTTCAGCAGTGGTTTGGCGAATGCAGACGCTCTTTACATCATAAATAAAACTTCGATCTGCGGCATTTCGCTGCGGATTGTCACAAACACTATTTGAAATATGCCTGGTATGACTAGCAATAACCTGTAAAGAAACGCCCTTGACAAGTTGGGTAAGGGCGAATTGTATGCGATTTGAAGGTTCGACAGCAATTAGGGACATTGCACGCCCGGGCAAGCAGTAACGCTGTTTCCACCAACGACATTTCAAAAATTTTCTATTCGTGCGAACCTAGGATGTGTCTTGAAATGGGAACAATGATGGCGCGTATTAGGAAATTTTTTCCTCCTTCAATGCCTCAATTGACCCAGATGGTTTTTACTTAGAGACTAGCGAAGAGGGGGTTTCCGCCCATTAAAGAGAGCCCGGACCACATGAAGAAATCAGAGCCTGCCATGGCGAACTCTCAAGCGTACATGCACACCTATTTACAGCAAGCAGCAAATTCATTGTGACTTTTTCTCTGGTTGTGGCCAAGTCATGTCGCCAGTCTCATCCCTTTGGCCTCGAGAAGCAACTTTTAGGGTGACTTGGCTACAGCAGCTGGTAATGGGTGGCCTATGAGATTGAGCTGGAAGCTGGTACGTCGGCCAAACAGGTCTTCTCTTAAGCTGATCTCCGCTGCTTATCTAATCAGGAAACCTGGTTCACTCGCCAGGTATTAAGGCACGCTAAAACGGCGGCTTCTGGGGGTCAAAGGGGGCTGTACCACTGTCCATCTGTAATTGGCCCCTTGTCCGTACACTAGTGCACTAAGCCATGCGATCAACCGTGGCTGGCCGCTTCCAACCATTCCCGATTCCATGTCGCCTGGCTTCCGAACGGCGCTGGCGTCAGCCTACACCTCAGATCACGGTGAGCGAACATCATAAAATTTGGCATGGCAGCAGAGGGCGGCATGCTGAGCACAATGATTACCATGAGCGGGACGTTGATATGAGTTGGAATCAGACACTTTCCCAGCTCTAGAATCTTTGTCAGCCATGTATGGGAATGTCTTTGAAGTCGCTGTCTTTGGCATCTACCTAGATCCTTCCAGCTTGATATCGCTTGAGGTACCAATACTGCAATTTTTGAGATACATCATTGAGATACATGATTGAAGCTGAAAGCTGATCATGTTGCGGTTTGAGACAGCGACGCAGGCATCCATCAGTTACAGCACACCGCCCCTCCAGTCCAAACAGAAACAAGAGAAATGTCATTTTCAGCTCCAACGATCATATTCAACATAAAGACCAGCTTGATTCCATCTTCCAACAAGCCCGTTGCCTCGTTCTTGCATGCTCAACACGCATGATTAAAAGTCCTCCAAGATGCCCCCCTCTTTTGGTCCCGACACACTCTTGTTCTCATGGAATCTCTTCATGAATATTCGGGACCCTCCTACTCCCCAAAGCGAACGCAAACAACACCCGGAAATCATTGAAATTTTGTCAGACAGCGATGAAGATGCCCAAGGCAGGACACCAACCCGGCGGCCGAGACGTGCCAACGACAGATCTCAACACCTCACCCCACCACCATCGCCTCCGTCGCCGTCATCAACCAGGCGCCAGCAGGTCGCACGAAACGACACTGCATCCCGCCTTCGAGCTGCTCCGAGGGCTCCTGTTGGAGAGCCAGGTGGCGTTCCGCATCGACGACAACTCACCCCTGCTGTGACTACCTTTCAAGGTGGCCCTATTCGCTTTGCGGGCACTACAGAGACTCGTACCGCACGAACTAGCACTACGAAAGCTGGTTCCAACACCCCAAACATTCCCAAGAGATCCGGTAATCTCAAGATCGAACCGGGCGAGGGCTCCATGGCGCCCAGAACAGGTATTTCTGTCTTCACCGAAGTCTTGGCACAGGTCACTAATGTTATTGGGCCTTCAGGATGGCTGCCTCGCACCAAATAGGCCCCTAGCTGGCGATCTTGGTGCCGGCACTGAGCGGAGCAAGAGCGGAGCATGGCTTTGCCAGAACGATGGCCGAGTGTCAATCGGGTCTCATGATCGGAACTACCGGCAAGAGGTTGACTCTGGAAGGAGAAGTAATTACCTCATGTATGCTTTGGAGATGAGTACTGAAATATCAGGCAATGGCATGACCTGAACCTCGGCGGGGGCCACCCAGATGAGGAGATCAATGACGTGATGAGGGCTTGACATGGAAGATCAGTACCAGATGACAGAATGTCATGCACAGAAACAGTTAGTCCGTCTCGTATGCCTCCGTTTCAGGGGTTCTTACCTCGCAGTAGTGTCCGCTGAAGGTTAAGTTTGCCCGAACCACTGATATGGTTACTGGGTCTCGCCAAGCGTTTGCCATGCTTTCTCCACAAATATAGGGCTACCACCGTGGCGGATAGTGATTCCATTGGTCTAGCCAGTTGCGTGACATTGCCCGATAGCTTACGATAGCTTGGATAGCCTATGGTAAAGCCGGCGAGTATTCTGCCAAAAGATCTGTACGGCATAAATTGGAGGTGGCACTAACTGCTCTGGAAGCGGTGTTCTAGCCTCTAGGTAGCAAAGCGATCGTGCTAACGGGTGCCAATTCCGAACTTCCTTGTAAAACAAACTAGAAAGGTGGGCGAATGCAAAGCTCGGGTGACCGATACAGCTCGGAAATAAATCGATCCACGCGTCAAGCGAATTCTATTCAACTTCTTTTTCAGGAGCCATTGTGTCATTTGCCGAGAAAACACACTCCATCAGTTGCTTTTCTCTACTACAACCTTTCCACTGCCACTCTAGCAATCCTTTCTGCCGCCACTCTAGCAATCTTCAAGATGCCCTTCGTTGTATTACCAGCCCTCGTCGAAGACATCGAACGGATCTACGACATCCAGTTCGCGGCTTTCAAAGATGAGCCCATAATGAGATTCCTCTACCCCAATGGCGTCGACCGCAAACTTCACACAGAAGGGACGCATGAGTGGTGGAAGCAAGACCAGATCGGCCACCCAGTCAAGTGCGTCGACACCGAGACGGGCGAAATCGTCGGCATGGCGGTGTGGGATATTTTCTGGCGACCTGGCGAGGAGCACGCATTCCAAAAGCCGGAGGGCATCCCGTGGCTTACGGGTGACGACAAGAAGAAATGCGAACGGATATTGATGCCCATGTGGGACATGCGTGTCCAGCTCTTTGGCAAGCGCAGGTACATCTGTAAGTTTCCTGACCATCATCACGGCCACAAAGGCTGATGTGTCTTCAAAGATCTCTCGACGATAGCTGTGGACCCCAACCGCCAGAGACAAGGTATCGGCCGCGTACTCATGCAGTGGGGGGCCGACGTTGCAGATCAATTGGAACTGCCGATCTACACCGAAGCTTCGGATACAGGGTTCTCTCTGTACGCGAACGTGGGGTTCGAGAGGCTCACCCATGTGAGCATCGTCCACTCCGCCGAGGCGCGTGGGAAGGACGAGGCCGCCGAGGTTCCCCTCGTGGTCAGGATGCCCAAGGTCGCCGGCGGAATCAACTTCAAGGAATGGTCAGAGGCAGGCTTTCCGGAGGACTTCAAATTGTGAGGAAGAGTCATGTTCATGGTGTCCATCTGGGTCGACGTTGAAGGGGTTGCGATCAGCACTCAGCGGAATGTGGGCGGAAAGTATGGGAACGCCCCCCCCCGAGAAATGCGTGTAATCCGTCAGCACAAAGCCCTCCAGCGAATAATTTCAACTGGAATAAATCTACCGTCTTATTACATTTCATGGTCGTTTGCTAGGTTGAGTGTCTTTCAATTTTGAATTTCTCTGCCGTTGCTCACAGACTTAGGTATGCGTCGTAGAAAAAGACGTCAGACGATACTTAAATGCATGAAATAATGCTATGGTCACATTTAGGCCAATTAGACACGGATCTTGAGGAGCCTTGTTTCGAGCATCTCGAAGAATTCGCCCTGTATGGTAAGGTAGATAGTGGATTTGGTGGATTTGGTTCGACGGACATTGGGACTTTGTGAGTTTCGAGAGATTATCGCTCCTCAAGTAGCAACGACCATCAGATGCGGTCCACGAGCTATTTATTTGCAACGCAGAGCCTCTCCTAATGGATTGGTATCTGATACCAGCGTGACTTCCGCAGGTAGTCCTTCGAACAAGTTGGAAAATTCGGAAGAGGAGAAGCCCAACATCCCGATCAAGGGCGGTCTATGCCCAAGACGGAGGTCATTCTTCAGAACGCCACCAGCCTATGTGTGACATTCTCCAATTCACAACAGGCAGAAGGTACTTTTTATCATATTCCAACCAATACTACCCCAGAACCAGAAATGAAAGACAGACTGTGGGGAGCAGTGGAATGATTGAACCGGGGATGGGCGAGGAATTCTGGACGGGAGAAATGACGTTAATTTTGCAAGGCAGCCTATGCTTGCATTATGTAACTCGCCATGGACAAGTGACATATTCGGTTAACTTCACCCTGCATATTTTCGTATTCCGAAGTCATTTTCGTATACCTTTGTCGTATTTCGTATTTGAGCGGGAAGCGAATGGCACGTACGTTGGGTTGCTGGTAATTCAACGCAGTATATATAATTCCTAGAACGATAGATATCGGGAAAAAGTTGCAAACAATCTCATGCTGCTTTGCACTCGTCAAAGATGAATGGCTTTGCATTTCTCTGGCTTTGGGTTGCGGGAGTGACGGCCAGCTACTTCAATCCCATCCTTCCAGGCTTCCATCCGGATCCAAGCTGCATATATGTTGAGAGCACATTTCTTTGCGTGACGTCCACTTTCACCTGGTTTCCCGGTGTTCCTGTCTACGCCAGCAAGGACCTCCGCCGCTGGGAGCTCGTAAGCAGCGTGCTTAATCGGCGAGAACAACTACCACAATTTGCGGACGCCCCGACTGGACAAGACGGTCTTTTCGCATCAACGATTCGCTACCATAATGGTACATTCTATGTCACTACCACCTACGTCTCTATCGCTTCCTACACGGACTTTGTCATGGAAAACCTGATCTTCTCAACCAACGACCCATACAACGCGTCCTCGTGGAGCATTCCGACCAAAGTTGACTTCACTGGCTACGACCCATCATTGCTATTCGATGATGACGGAACGGTCTACTTCACTGGAGCTGCTGCGCTTTCGACTGGGACTGCAATCGCTTTGGCCACCATCGATGTGGACAGCGGTTCCCTTGGCCCCATTAGCTACCCATGGAATGGAACTGGTCTAGGTACCGCCGAGGGGCCGCATTTATACAAGAAAGACGACTGGTATTACATTCTTGTCGCTGAAGGAGGAACGAAAGAGATGCACCGCGGGTCAATTGCGAGATCCCTCACCGTCGGTGGCCCCTACGAAAGCAACCCGGCAAACCCAATTGTCATCGCTGAGCACCTCAATTCTTCGTACTTCCAAACCGTTGGACATGCCGACCTTTTCCAAGATGAAGATAAAGGGCTTTGGTGGGGAGTAGCTCTCGCAATGCGATCAGGGCCGGACTTCGTGTCATATCCGATGGGCAGAGAAACCGTGTTGTTTCCTGTCTCATGGCCGGATGAGGCAGGGGGGTGGCCAAGCCTGCTGGAACCAGTCAGAGGGCAGATGGGCACATCGCTTCCTGGTAAAAGTGGCAATACAAGCGGTATACCTGGTACAGGAGATGAGCCTGATGTTGTTGACTTCAATGTCTCTTCGGATTTGCCAACACATTGGTTGCATATTCGTTATCCAGAGGAGGCAGCATACGCCATTTCCCCTTCTGGACACCTAAACCAGTTGCAACTCGGCCTATCGGCAAGCAACCTCTCCTCGGTGGTTACGCGCAACAGTACGATGCCCAACACCATCACGTTCTTGGGCCGTAGACAGACCGACACCCTTTTTAGTTTCAGCATCGACCTCGAATTTCACCCAAAAGGCCCAGCAGACGAAGCCGGAGTCTCGATTTATCTAGACGAAAAGCGGCACATAGACTTTGCCGTCATTCCAGATGATCATTTGGTCGACGGCAAACGCTTACGTCTTCGATCATTTAGCAACAACGAAAATTTGACCTTGCCGCAAGACGTCATAGTGCCGATGCCTGGGGATCAAGAAGCAAACGCTGCTGTGCGCCTAGAGGTCAGGGCAGAAAACATCACGCACTACATGTTCCTTGCGGGGCAGGTCAGTGGAGACGAGAGCATAGATACCAATATGACGGTCGTGGGGCATTCTTTGGCAAGCCTTGTGAGTGGCGGCTACACCGGTACCGTAGTTGGCGTCTACGGGACCGCGAATGGTGAGGCGACAACAGCCAGCACCTCTGTAGCATACGTCAGCCGATGGAGGTACTATGGTAAAGGGCAATACGTTGATCACGACGTAGTTGTTTAGTCAAGGAAATGTAATAAACGTGCATGTGTCTCTAGGCAGTGTCGGCCCTACAGCATTTGCAGCATCCTAAAGCGAATAAATGGACATACAGGGTAGTTCATATTTCATTCAAGTAGCAAGAGTCAGCATAGTAGATCAAATTCCGGAACACCTCCGAGATCTCTGCTCAGAACGTCAAACTCAAAGTGCTCCGCTACCCAGGGATACGTGATATCAGAGAGATCAGAGGCTATGCTTGTTCCATCCCCTGGCCGTGCTCCTTGTTGACTGTTGCTAGAAGGGAAGTCTAACGGGGACCAAATCGCTGATGCGCTACCTTCTTGGCGCACATCGTAATGTCGATCGTGGTCGAAGTTCACATCCGAATGAGTATCGCCAACAGAGCTTGTATGCGACTTAGACATAGATTGAGAGATAATCCAATTTCTCCAAGCATTCCTTCCTTGCTGTTGTGTCTGATCTCTCCGTAATGACAGGGACGCGTGGTTTTGTTCGTGATGCTGTCGGTCTGTAGTTGTGGAAACGTTCGCCATAGCACGAACGATTCCTCTCAGGCTTGAAGCTGCGGCTTCGCTCCCCATGGCCAGTTCTGTGAGGATAAGGATACCCTGAGAAATGGTTTTCATCGGTGCAGCGATTATACCCGCCAACCTAACCCTGGCAAGCAAAAGCACGTGAAGGGCCGAGCTGCAGTGGAGCGAATCGTGGAAAGACGGAGCGCACAAAAGAGATAATGACTTCAGCTTGGACATGATTCGAATACACGCGACGGCTGAGTCAACGCATTGCTGGGTTTGCTGCTCTAGAAATTTGGTCGCATTTGGGGCCAGAGGCTTATCGGACTTCCTTGTTGCTGCGTTGTAGTTGAGGCATGATCGTGTCAGCAGTATGGTTGCTTGCTCAAAAGTCAAAGCTAGGTGGGCCTCAGATCTTGTTGTGAAGCTCTCGAGGTTGACATGCTTCGGAAGGTCTCGCCTCCATTGCTCCAAATCGCGTCTAAGTTGGTGGATGACCTTCGGCCGTATGATCGTTCCCTTCTCTGCGGCTGTTCTGTCGTAGACAGCACCGACGATCCTACCAAGCAAGTGGCAGATCTGTGCCATTGCAACCAGGCCGTCACAGCGTTTCCATCCAAGAGTCTCCACCGGATACGGGGCGTCAATCTCGGTGTCACTCAAGGATAGCGGTCGTCCCATCTCGACACTGTACAGCCTTTCTGCAACGTATACTGTCCACCATAACCTGTTCCGTAACTCACGCACATGAGCATGTAGCGAGGAGGCTGCAAAGCTCGTATGGAGCCCCATGTTGATGGCCATCCGTAAAGCCAGCCCAAGCACGTTGTAACTTGCGTCACGACTGCCAGTACTCGGCAAATAGATGCCCTGAAGAGCGCAGACTTGAACGCTGGCCATTGACGATGAGCAGATAATGTCTGGAAGGAGCTTGCGTGAAGCCTCGTAAAAGCGCCAGCCAAGGTTTGGAGCTGGGACGGGAACTTTGATGCGGGAAATATCCTCCAGACAATGGATTCCCTCTTCTATTAGGAGTCGATTTGATTCAGTAGACATCTCCGAAGTCGGGGCGATGCCAGTATCCGCAAACTGACTGCCGATGGCGAGGACCATGAAGAGGATGGAAATGAATTCAATCGATCGCCGGGAGTTCCGAGAGTCTCTTGCTTCAAACTCGTGTGTTCCGTCATAAAAGGCCGCGAGTTTGCGAGAGAATATCTCCGGATGAACACAGAAATAATTGGCCTGGCCGTGCTCGAAAAACGATGTAGTCAAATAGTTTACAACCTCCTGGGGCGGGAGAGCTGCATTGACTGAAGTCCTCCAGTCGGTTCCGAAGCTTAAGTCGGAGATCTGGTGCAGACTAATGTCTCGACAGTCCTAAAGAAATCTTAGCGAGCTGTCGCCGACAGGGGTGAGAAAGAGATAGAGGAATGACCTACAGCATCTCCGTTCTCATTTTCTTCGTCTACATCACCAGCGAAAACCTGTTGCACGGAGGTGAAGAATGACCACAAAGAAGACGTGCCCTCGAAGTCTGTTTACTGTCAGTTCAACCCCTTATCGTTTACCACGCATTCGAGGGAATATGCTCACGGGTTTTGCCTTGGTTGACAACTGTCACAGAGGCAGCGTGTGTTGATACCGCATCGCAGTAGATCATATCCTGAGTTGTAG